CCCCCCCCCCCCATCTGCCTCGTTCTCACCTTAACAACGAGCAGCAGCAGCATGGGGGGGTTAAAGCTCTGGGCACAGTAGTGCACCTGCCTCCAGCAACCATTGGCTTTGTTTTGTTTTGATGTTCTCTTTAAAAAAAGGAGGAAAAGCGTAATTCCTGTTTAAGCATCTTCATCTATCAGACTGTGTCTGATTGGCTGACAGCAAAAGAGGGTGGGACCGACCCATGTGATCTTTAGTTAACTGGAAAGGATCTAATTAAAAGATCCAATCACATTAAACCGTTGAACCTCCTGGTTTCTGGGAACCAGCAGTTACACATTCGGAGCCAATTTGAAACAAACCAATTCCTTTTTCTTTCCTGGAACTGTGTTTTTTGGTTCAAATTATCCAGCTGTCCACCCCGAAAGCCAGAGCCCTTCAAAGACCAGTCGGGTCCTTTTCATTCTGTATTCAATATATCTTTCTGTTTTTTAGGTGGAGATTATGTTTGTTCATCTCTTGATTGACAGCCCTTCCAATTAGCTCTTCTCAGACTCCATCCCAGGTTTGAAGTTCCTGTTATTTAACTGTCTAAAGCGCCAGTGATCACATGCGCAAAGAGCTCTGAGAAAAATCTGTCGGGCGATGCTCAAATCTGAAGCCAACAAGCATTATTATTCATAGGTAATTAACATAACACCAGTCCCCCAAAAGTCCCCCTCTGATTTCTGAATGCTGGCTCTCAAAAGTTAAAGACCCCGTTACTGTTTGGGGAAATTTTCAGGTTTTTGCTTTTAATTGGGTCCTTTGTGCACATTAAGAGGCATCTCGCTGAGCTGTCTCCATTAGTGGAGGCGAGAAGCTCGTCCCAGCTGTCGATCGTTTTTCATTTCGGCTCATTTAAATCACCTACGGAGACTTTGCGGGAATCAGACTTTAGCCGGGCGGCAGGCATCCACAAACTGAGTATTGCTTCGGAGGTCTTCTCGCTCTGCATATGGCTTCGGCCTCCTTTGCCTCCTGTAACATTTCTCATCAGGGTGTGCTGTGCCATCACGCTCTAATTTATTCCATCTGTCACTCGGGCTGCTATCACGGGCGGTGCTGTGACTGTGCTGTTCACACACCGAGGGGCGGTTTGAGGTTCTGAAATCTGAGCCTCCGCCCGGCTGAATTAAACCAGCAGCGGGGTGCAAACGCCGAAGCTCCACCGGCTCTCTGATACCCGACACTCCACTCTTTTTCCCCGCGCGTTTTTTGTCCTAGATTTATCTTTTGAGGGGGAAAGGAACCTATTTCCCTTTGGCTGTTTGATGTTTGATGATATTTTAGAAATGGAAAGATGAGAAATTGTTCTGAGAATGTCTCACCTCACGCAGCAGACCAGAGCAGATTTTCACCAAGATTACCCACATCAAAGGATTTATTGATAAGAATGTCACAACATGAAGAGCAAAGAAATAATATAATTGCAATCTACTCATTTATCTGAGCTAAAAAAGTGAGGATCAATTTTTAATTTGAAATTGATAGATTTTCATTTTTAAGAAAAGGTAAAGTTATATAAAATCTGATCTAAAAAAACGGAAAGAAATATCAATGTTTTATATATTTATGCGTTGGTGCTCTATAATAAGCTGATCTGAATAGGTTTCACTGGCTCTCTGGCGGCCCGCTGGCTATTAAGAGATTAAGTCAGTGCCTTTGTGTTTGATGTACAAAAGATGAATCCATATCCAGCCCTTCCTGGAGTTTATTTCCAGGCCGTCCTTGGGTGAACCGAGCCCAGCTTTTAGTCATCCCTGTTCTCTGAGGAAATGAGAACCACTACATTTTCTTGGTTTTCATTGCTTCGAGGGCAGTGACAGTCAAACTTCAGGAGAATTTGGGTGAGTGTGAAGCGCGACCTGAGTTTTGGGACTTGGCTCGCGGCTGCTCGTTCGTTCGCTCACAGGGCAGCGGCCTGACACACAACACAGGAGTAATTCATTCAGCAAGAGTTTAAAAAGTGAGCGGCAAACCAGGAGTTTGAATAGATTCATTACGTTCCGCTTTGCTCATTAAGTCTGTGCCGTGTGACCCGGCTCTCTGGTTTGTGCAAAACAGTTTTTGTGCCTGTTTGTTGACTTGAGGTTCAAGTTCTAAAACCGAGTTTGGACTATTTGACGCTCTGCTCTGAGCTCGCCCTGGATGATCAGGCTCCATTCATACCTTTATAACATATTCAAGTACGTTTTCCACCAACTTGCTTGAAATGCTCTAAAGGTGAAGTGGAAGTTCTGCCACTCGACTCTCAGCTCCTCCACTTGTGCAAGTGTCTTTAAGACACAACCCATTTTTTTGTATTTGATAGTAAATGGATTTGTGGTTTCTTTACTTATTTGGGCATAAAGTAAAAGTCTAAACGTCTTATAGCCTAAACAATGGTTAAACACAGGCACATTTAACACGAAACCTTTGCAATCAAAACACGGGATCTGTCCCCTAAAGTACAAACTCTGTTCAGGATTAGGGGTTGTGGGTTTTGTGGGCCTGAATATGTGGTCTGTGCTGTTATAGTGAGCAGGGCATATAATTCACTTAGCGGGGAGAATGATAATTCTTTGTTATAGCCGGCTCCGGGCTCCCGGCTGTGAATCATACCTGTGAAGTCACACATGCAGACAGTTGATCTTCTCACTTGCTCTTCTCCCACACGCACCTTTGTTCTCTCATGAATACCCACACACGGTCTGAGAACGCTTTTCAAACACTCCCCGTCCTTTTCTATTGTCTCCTATTCAGAGATACTCTCCTCCATCCTCCTCCCGATCTTTTTTTTTACTCCAGGCTCAGAGGATGCTGACAGGCTTGTGTGTCTGTGTGCAGGTGGTCCGGCCTCGGGAAAGGCCGTCCAGTGTGAGCGGATGGAGGAGCGCTTCAACCTGCGGCGCCTCTCCCTGGCCGACCTCCTGTGCAGCGAGCTGCAGGGCCACGGCGACAGAGGGCGCCGCCTGCGGGACGTCCTGGAGAGAGGAGAGAGGCTCCCCGAGGTGGGTGCCCGAGCTCTTCTCCGTCTCTGAACGTCAAAAAATAACAAATATTCCACCTTTCGGTGCAGCTTTGAAGCAGAATCTGTTTTTTTTTCCTTAAAAGAAAATATCAGTTACCCCATTTCCTTATTTTTATGGGGACATTCTGCCTGTAGAGCTAGAAAAGAGAGCAATCTCAGACCAGCAGGAACATGGCGTGCCCATTTTTTAGCGGCATGATTTACAACAAACTCTGCATCTCTGTGGAAATGTTGTCTGAAGATTACATCAGCGAGCTGTTTGTCTAGAACTGATAAGAATAAGGTGTTCGGAGCAAGTGTGACAGCAAAATGCCACCATGACTGAACATGAAATCAAAGAATTAAGATGTCAAAGAACAACCCACACTTTTTTTTGACTAACAGCGTGGTATGTGGGTGGATTGGTAAAAGACAATCCTCACGGATGTGAACATGAAGCGAAACAAGAGTCAACAAAGCACCACGATCTGTGAAGATCTTAAAGATTATAATTTTTAAAAAATGCTGGTTTAGGTCCTGTTGTTTTCCACTGAGGAAAGTGGTGACTCATATGAATATTTGCTACGTCTGGAAGCTGCTCAGTGAAATGGTTTTTCTGCCCAATACAGTAAAAGGCAGGACTGAAGCAGCAATAGTCAAGAGCACCACAACTGCCTTGTGGTGGAAAACAAATTCCCAAATAAAGTATGTTAACCGGATCAATTCTTCAGGTTTCAGAAGTAGAGAGTCAGCTTCACTTTTCAGGTCATGCATCTCCATGCACACTGGCACTGCACAATCTGTCTTTTGGAAGGCATGCAGCATGCAGGGAGCCTTTAAATGTCACTGTGGTGAGGTTAATAAGCTCACTACGGCGTGAAGACTCACACTGCCTTAATGATGACAGCGTCGGCTTCCTCCCAGTAGGACAGCGGGCCAAGGTAATTATGTTGCAAGTAACTTTTTGTTTTTGGGTTACTCCGGGTCAGATCTTTTTTTTTTTTGCAGCAAAATGCATTTCCTCCCGGTGTTCACGTCTGTGGGATTGTCTGTAGTTTGACCAAATAATGCGTTCATCAGACTGCAAAAACTACAGTATATTATCCAAAAGATGCAGAAAATCTGTTCTAAACTAAGAATTAACAAGTAACACAGAGACCTGCGCTTTCTTTTATCTGAGACAAAAATATGATAATGTCAGGGTGCTTATTCTGTGCACTAACATATGTAGAAAATTCTGAAAGAAACCTTTATAGCTTCATAATGAAGGTGGACGCATAGTTCATTGGCTCAAAACGCCATACTGTGGATCTTTTCCAAATCCTAGTCTATCTCTTTGTTTTTTTTAAACGAACCACAAAAATAAGTGAATTCAAAAATTCAGTCATAGATAATAGTCGCATAAAGTCTGCTTGGACTCTGAGCCACAGGAAAAAACACAGACAAAAGCATAAGAATGCAACAGCAGAGAGAGATATTTAAGCAATTTGAGTGATATAACCAAGATATGAAAAGACCAGGATGCCAAAGGGCCTCTCAGTGCTCCCTTAAACGTTAGGATAAAGAATCAGATCGTCCACCAACATTATTCTTCTCTACTTCCTGCTGTCAGCAGTGAAAGAGCAGAGCAAATATTTTAATACCGATGTTCCCCTTGACTTATTAACAGCATCCAAATGAGACTTTAATCACATTATAAAGCTGACGAATGGCTGAGCTTGCTGGCCCGGTTTTTCTCTCAGACTGAGCAGTGATTCACTCGGCGGAGGGTTGACAGTGGTGGTCAGGAAGCTTTACTACTGAACTGCGCTGCCAGTCTCTGACATTTCACATCAAAAACACTCTGTCATCGCTCATATTCTCAGTCATCCCAGCCACCCGTGTTCAAAGCATCTGGGTGCGTGTGACCGCGTGCGCAGTGAACCAGAGTGAGCGGCAAACTGAACTCCGCATGTAACAAAATCCAACAGAAACCGTTTATCTTTCCGTTGGTAGTTCTTCAAATCCCACAGAAAACGTACTTTGCACAGCACCTTCTACAGAAGCGCAGCCTCACCCTCATTAGCAGTTTTTAGAGATTAAAACTGCTTCTCAAAACCTGGGGAGGAAAAAGCCTGATAAATTCATAAACAAAGCCACTTGAGGCTGAAACTGTAGGAAAAACAGCAAATACCGAGAGGCATTCAGACTTCTGAAAATTGCCACTATTATTGAGCATTGAAGGGCTCTGCCAAAAACAAATAGGTCTTAATAATTAAATGACTTTGATTTGTTGTAAGCCATTAAACCTTTTGAATGGTTCTGATTGGCTGTAATTCTGCTCTGCGGGGGATTGATTGATGCTGATCAACACGGTGAAGCTCTGAGAAAATTTCCACTTATTGCTTAATGGTGTATTTTGGGATCCTAAAACTGTGCGTACACAACGAGTCAGCCTCTCGTTCTGAATGAGCCCCCAAGAAACGTGCTGAGAATCACATATTTCTGCTCAAAGTCTGAAAGTCATTTGGGAAATTCTCCTTCCTCCATAAGATTTTGATCATTCTTGATGCTTGTAGATAAAAGATCAATATGATTTCATGTAATTTTCTTCTTCTCACAGCTTCAAATCACACAAAATTCTTCAAACTGTAAGTTTTGGCATCAAAGGGTTAAGTCAGTTTTGCATTTAGATTTGCATTGCTACTGTGGCAGCTTCATAAATACATCTAATACATCTGCATGTATTTTTAAATACATCTTTCTATCGGTCCGCTAGCCAATTTGTAAATAAAGAAAAATAATTTAGTATTATTTGAATTCTTTGCAGACGATTCAGTATTGTTCTTTGACAATACATCCACAATAAAAACTGTTCATTGTCACAGCTAAAGCATTACAAAAGCTTAAAGAAGAGACATGCTGAATGTGGTTTGATTAACTCATCTTTTATTTTTTTGAGAAATATTTCCTCCATTCACAGCCCATTTTTGAATCAAGGTTACTTCAGACGCTGTTTGTTGTGAACGTCTGACAAAAAAAACAAAGTACTTTACCTTGACTGAGGCATAACATCTGCAAGATTTGTGACATGTTTTAATTGAGTCGGCCCGCTACAAGATTAAGAATGCGATTGACTTTAACCGTACTGCTGAGAACGGCTCATCTGTCTAAGCCTCTTACTGCACATTAACGTCATGTCCCATGTGGTTCGGCCATGAGAACTGCAAAATGTTTTTCCCAATGACTCAGATACAGAATTATATACAGAAAAAACAGAGAAGACTTCGATTAAATAGGGGATGACTAATCCCACAGAGGCTTTCCTGAAGTGCACCTCTCCTACTTTAAAGCAGAACACATTACAAAAGTCACCCACATCCGACTTGAGGGATCTGATCTCGCCGTGGGAGAAAAAAAAAAAGAAAAAAAGAAACGCTGTGGCTCGGTGATGAGGGCAAAACTGATACAGAGTTTGACTTGTTACCGCTCTGTTGCCTGGCAACACTGACGATTCGATTTATTATTCACTGTGAAGCATGTCCCTCCACATGTGAGCGACACGTCTGCACACGGGCCCGCACAAACGAGCAACTCTGAGGTTCCACTACCGCCGGAAATCTCTGATCGTTTTAATCAAAAGTGGACGTGAGTTTCTCCTGCTTTTAAATACGAAAGAAAGAAAATACAGCGACTCACTTTATGTCACCTTGAAACACAAAGCACCAGCATCCTGTTCTTCTTCATTCAGCGGGTTTTCTTTTTAAAGGGTCACTTTTCCAACCTTTTCTTAGGGCTCCTTAGTTGATTGACAGGAGCAACCTGCAGGAATGAGTTGTTTGAACATTCAAAAAGCTCTGCTTAAGCTCATTCTATAATTGTATCAAGCTCATTCTATAAAAATCAACAATGATGATCAGGATGGATACAGGCCGCACAACAATGGCAGCCTTTTGTGTCAGACTCTGCAAAAACAAGAAACAGAGTTTTTCTCTCCATAATCTACGGCTCAAGCGAGGCAGGTTTTGAAATAATCAAAAAAATCAAAGGTACACTTACGTAAAGAAGTAACACAGGAACTACACCAGGAAAATACGTCATCATTAAGAGTTTCTGTCCATGTGGATTATACAGCTGCACCGAAATCAGTAGGCCTTTACCTTGAGCTCCATCTCCGTTCTTAGAATAATAAGTGGGGTAATGAATGCATAATGTTACTTGTACCGGCAAACACACCGTCAGAGCAATAGCTGTAGGTCCACATGTCCCTGAAGCCTGCAGATAATGCAGCTCCACGAGAGACAAACTCAGACATGAGACGGCCACACAAAACAGTAAAAAAACACACAATGTTCTTCCTCAAAGCAGCTGAGTCCAAAATGCCCGGCAGCAATAAGGCCTCCAGAAGCACTTGTTAAACAACCAGGAAATGAATAAACTTGGCAAATGCTGGAAGCACTTGTAGCATAATCAGACAGAAAAAGCCAAGAGAGCTTCAGCCAGCAGACAGTGAAGACCAATTATCCACACAATCGAGTTCAGAACAAAGCGGAGACAGCGCCGACACACCTTTGAGGCTTCTGTTGTTGTCCTTCAGCCCCTCGCTTATGTAACTACCACGTTGTTGTAGCTCAAAACAATAAGCACCACAGACAAATGATTTCCCCCACAAAGTTATCACGACGTTGCTCTTCGAAAAACTCTCGGCTATATTTGAAACAGAGGAATGTACATCCCGACCTCTCAGTGCTAAACGCATGTATCCATCCATCCATTGTCCAGACATCTTATTCCCGGTAGGGTCACAGGGATGCAAAATGCCTATGAAAGAAAAGTTTGAAGATATCATCATGAAAGGTGGAGAACATTTGTGGAACAAATGTATCAAATAGCAATATGTCTATAAACTGAAGTCGGCCCATTTTTTTACCTAATCAGGAAAAAGAAATTCTCATCATCTTGTGACGTAACACAATTGATGTATCAGTAAATGAGCCTCATTGTGTGAATGAAACAGCCTCAATAGTCCGACTCACCTATTATCAGCGCAAAACCGGCGTCATTGTGCGTTGGAAAAAGTCAACTCATTGTCTCAGCACGACCCGAACACTGTTAGAAAAACATAGAAGACTTTTTGCAGTCATGGCATTTAGAAAGATTTGACCAAGACATGCCAACTGTTAGCGATTTAATGAGTATGTTAATGAGAAGCGGAGATAATTAGCATCTATTTCACTGCCGCTGCCTCTCATTAAAATGGTGTCGTTTTAGGTTCCAAAGAAACCCCAGGATGTCAAATCTGCATGCTGAACTCGCCGTTTTAATATGGTATTTTACAAAGATAAAGTTAAAGGGCCCACATATTTTCTTTTGTGGGGTCTATGTATGTACACATGTGGTGGACAGTAAGTACCGGGTGGGTCGGAAGTCACAGAAACAGTTTGATTTCAGACACAATAAGGGAAAATGCCATATCTGAATGCCTCAGCAATAATGGGTGAAGCGGCCTATCTTTTAGGCTATTTCTGGAATACGGCCGCCATCTTGAAAGTGGTCATGTTGGACCAACAATTAATCTTTGTTGATTATAGCATTTGTTTTGATAAAAAGAAATTGTGGAAAGGTTTCATCAGTGTTCTTTGTCAAAAGCTAGTGAGTAAAGTCAGGACTGAACTAACCGCTTATGAAAGTCCGTTTAAACCAATTTAAACCTTAGATACGATAAGATAGAGTCTGAACACCAGTTTATTTGATCCTGTCCAGGTACCAGCTATCTCCTTTTCACTTCCTTTGAATTTAATTATTTTGATAAAAACTGTTTTATAGAGTCGTCTGTTCAGGGATTGAACGGATGGAATTGTGTTATCGATATTCCTTAATTATTTATAGCACATTTAAAGGGACTGTGTGCTTCACAATGCTGAATAAGATTGTTTCTTTTTGCATACTGTTACCATTCACTGATCATCCATATAAATGTAAATAAAAAAGATTGTTACTCAAAACAGCACAAATTCTGTCTGTAAACTGTTGAGTTCACATTCTACAGGGTTTAGTTAACAGCAATTAATATTCAGTCCTTCATATTTTCCAAACAACATACATAAGGGACTGCGCCAGAGAAGCTATGGTGAATAAATGATGGTGTGTGTGTCACCCGCAGGACACGATGCTGGAGCTGCTGTGTGATGCCGTGGCCTCGTCCGTACGGCAGGGGAAGGGCCTGGTGGTCAGCGGCTTCCCCAGAGACCTCAGACAAGCGGAGGAGTACGAGGCAAAGGCAAGACCCCCAGACGGCCGGGACAGATAGGAAACGTGGGCTCAGGAAGAGTAATGAGGCCTGATCTCCTGTATGCAGGCAAAGGGGAGCCGAGTAGGGCATTTAGGCCGCTCGTGCAGGGCTGAAAGTGTGAAATGAAATGTGTAAAGGCAAGATTAAGAAAGAAAAGGGGGGAGAAGGGTGTTAGACAAGAAGGACACTCCAAAAAGTTGGTTTTCTGGAGCTGACTGACAGAGAACAGAGACTTTGGGAGCTTTACTTATAGAGGCTGACTGTTTTCCTCCCTGCAGGTGGGGGACCCCAGCGCCGTGTTCCTGCTGAGCTGCTCTCCGGACACCATGTCCAGTCGGCTCCAGTGTCGCGGGAACCCCCCGGACAGCAGCAGCCTGCAGCAGTGGGCCGAGAGCTCCGGCGGGGACGGCCGGGCGGTGGCCGCACACTACCAGCGCAAGAGGCTTCTGCACACAGTGAGACCCCCCCACACACAACACCACACACCCCCCCAGGCCCCAGACCAGGCCCCAGACCAGGCCCGTTCAGCCCGTTCTGCCCCGCCCTTAGAGGGCGGCTCAGCCCCTCGGCCAGAACGCTCAGGGTCTCTTTTCGATGGACATTTTCCCCCTCGATTTGAAAGAAACGGCAGCGTTCAGATGGGAGTGTACATTTCCACAAAAAGGCTCAAACAATCACGTTGGGTCAGTTACAGGATAACGTGGGACCATACACAGTCCCAACAGGTCAAAATGTAAGAAAAGAGGATTTTTTCAGAATCTTCGATCAGAAAATTAGAATTTAGTTTTCCTTTAGCCATGTCAAGGGCTTGCCATATTTAAAAAAAAGCCTGGATTAAATCATAAAGATTTTATGACCAACTCTAACTCACAGAGACGGTCTCTTTGTCTGCTGGACCTTTAGCAGAGGGCCAGTTTGAGCGTAGGCTTAGGTCACTCAATGTCCAGCAGTGTGACAGATCTTTATTAAGTTCAGACGTGAATATTTCTCCTTTTCTGCAGGCCATAGAAACAAAATGTACAGTCGAGGCTCTTTGGCAAAGATAAGCAGCCTAAGAAGGCGGTTTAAAGCTTCCGCTTCATGTCGGGGAGCAAAATTTGCTCGTTACCATTCCTCCACTCAGCTGGAGAGCCAGACAAATGTGAGCTCAATTAAACTAATCACATTTGTACATTGGAGCTCAGCAACAGCTCCGTCTAGAGTCTGGACCTCCGAGCTGGTGGTTAAATCCAGGGAGGGGTGGCCCAAAATAGCAACAGCTGCTAAAATGAAAACAGATGCAGCAGGAGATAAAAGCTACAATTAACATCTTGTTTGTATTCTGAAACTGCGAAATGTAAATTTACAAAGCTACTCTGAACTCACCTGAAGTCGCCAGTGAAACACCAAAAAGCGGGGAGAAAAGACTCGTGTTTGATTCCTCTTTTCTTTTCTTTGTTGAAGGCATTTGATTTATTTAAGCTGTATTATGGACACACCCCCACAGGTAAAAGCGGGTCATAGGCATTCAAACGGGGGCCATGAGCAGCTCAAATATTCTGAATAGTTAGACAAGAGGGTTTAATTCTTTCCCTCTTTTCTGTTTTATCTAGAGTTTAGTTCTTTTTATAATGTGACAATTAATTTAGCTTTACGGAAGTCCAGATTTAACTATTTCTCCAGTTTGGAGCAATATTTAAACATGTTATCCACATTTATCAGGACTACACAATCAATTCAAGTCCCCTAAGACTTATTTTTATTGTAGATATTTAAAACGATAAGCTTTCACCAAAGTAGAGCAACATCAATATGAGTCATATTCTTATAATTTACAGAACCAGGTCAGTGTGATTCTCTTTACAAACGTGAGAGCGTCGTCTTGTTTCTCGGGGAAACATTTAATGAAACACAGGATTTAATGTTTCTGACCACCTCAAATCTAAAGCATTTCAACTTCAAAACGGATTAAATCCACCAGGTAACCTGCTCCTACGTAAGCCAGCCCCTCTCTGACCGGCGATGTGGTCACCCGCACACTGATGAGGGGCATGTGCCAGTCACAAATGAAAAAGAAGAAGAAGAGAAAGCTTCTTTTCCCACCTAGGAGTTGCTACGTTTATGTGAAAAGGCATGAAGACTTTCATTCATTCAGACACTTCATTTGGGAGAAGCTCTTCGTGTCCATCACAGATTTAAGAAGACGGACAGCGTTCAACGGCATTACCTGAGCAGCCGGGTTTATCTTATTTAACATGCTGTCCTAAAGGTGGACGCTGACCCCAGAGGTCAGGT